GAGTGATTTCCACTCACCTCATAGTTCTAGCCGACCTGTGACAATGAGACTGTCACAGGTCGGCTCAGTAGATCGGGAGGTGAGCGAACACATACCAGGTTCGCTCACCTCTCGATCCTGTCACGGCTCTCTGCCGTGACAGGGGGAGGGGCTGGATTCCCCTCTCCCTGCTCCGATCTGCCAGCGCTGACTGGCGGAACGAACGGGGGAGGGGGCGGGTACAGCTGGATCTGCCTCTAGATAGGCAGAGCCAGCTGTCACTCACGCAGCTGGGCGGATCCCGTCATCTACGTCGGGATCCGCTCCGGCTGCGGCGTCTCAGTATACCACGAGCTGTAGCTTGCAGTATACTGAGCCTAGGGTGACGGGAGGACGCTAGTTTGTGTCCTCCCGTTACCCTAAGGAGAACTATGGGGAAAAACACTAACCCCATAGTTCTCTAAGTGTTTTTGTTCTATGTACTGTATATGAATTTTTCTTGCCATGACTTGCTCTTTATGGTGCAGCGCTCAGTATTGTTAATGAAAGTACAGTTAACTTTGAACTTGAATTGGGCTGAAATGCAATGTTTACATAAAAGATCAGAGTTCATTAATAGCTGCTAAATTTAGCTTGAACATTGTTATACATTGTAGAATAAATGTCTTCCCTTTAATCAGCTAAGGTCATGTTTGACTGGCACAAAAGTTGTTTGTGCTTTTTCATGGCTGCGATTTACATTGCCACTGTAGGGAAATCAGTGAAATTGTGATGTCGTCTCTCGGTTTGTTTATAATCCAATAAACGGGTATTCCCGGTTTCCTCAGAAAAAGAGCACTGTTCATTGTGTGTACTTATACTCTTGCCGTTTGTATTGGTGTAAACATTGCTATGTAGTCATATCTGTTGTCTTTTTGGATAAAACAAATGATTAGTGAAGCAAATGTGTGAAAATGTATATTTTCTAGCCTGTGTTTCAGGGAGAAAAAAAGCTGAATTAAAAATATGGAATGATCCACATTGTTGTATTGATTACTGCATTTAGTAACTTGCTGGCAAAGCCGCTGCTGGTCAAGGACAATTGGTGAACAGTTATATAACCTTGATTGAGTAACACTCTTCTTGTATGTGTATAAAGGTTGTAGATCACTATGAGAATCCCAGGAACGTTGGATCACTTGACAAGAACGCCAAGAATGTTGGAACTGGTCTGGTGGGCGCTCCAGCATGTGGAGATGTTATGAAATTGCAGGTTAGTATGACTGGGCTGTTATTAAAAGGCTTGCCACTGGGTTAGTAAACATAAGTTGGTAATAGTCGTATTTCCTGTCCAGTACAAGATCACAAGGGACAGCACAATCTCCAGCAGCTGTCCGTCTACTAGCTTTTAGAAGGGAGGGGATCGGGGAGTGTCTTGCCTTTCTGTGCCTGTGTGTTTGTGGCGACGCACACAGCTTACTAGCACCCACAAGTGTGGTTCCCTAGGACTCTGCAAGGGAAATGAGACACCCTAAAACAGGATATCAGGACTAGTACTCGGGGGACCTGCTGATTCTTGATTAACATCAAGGAGCATCATCCATTGTGATTTGATCAACGTTAGAAATAGTCTAAACCTGTTTTAACTTGAACATCACCTCCAAATACAGTTAGCATAAAAATAGATTTCCCTGAAAGTTTGTTGGGGACAAAGTAACTGTCGAAGAGAAAGATAATGCCGTCACATATTGAAATATATTTGCCCCATGTTTGTTTGTTTTTCTAATGTTATTTTTACATTTGCTGCAGGATGTATCGATTTGTTCATTCCTTTGTGTTGCTAAGCGCGCTATTTACTGCTTTCTTTTACAGATTGAAGTTGATGGAAATGGGAAAATTGTTCAAGCAAAGTTCAAAACATTTGGATGTGGTTCAGCAATTGCCTCAAGCTCTCTGGCTACCGAATGGGTAAAAGGAAAAACGGTAAATGATGATGTGTTTTTCATTTCTGTTTATAGTCTAGTAGTTATCTTTGTATTGAGGGTCAGGAGAGAATACTTTACCTGCCTCCATTTTTGGTAGACATAATATTGTGTGGCCCTTAATCCTTTCACTGCCACCGACATAAGGCATATGGAGGAACAGAACAGTTTGCAGCTGGCCACCTCAGTATGCCTTACGTCTGCTGCATTCGCTTCTGCTCTAAGTTCATGGTAATTTCAGCGACCATGAACCTAAAACAGGAGGGTCCCCCAGACTCTGCTGAACAATGTATAGCTGTGATTAGTGTCTGCAAAGCGGCAATCATTCATGACAAATATTACTGACCCTGACTTCCACCCCTTGCATTGCACACTCCCTATGTGGACTGTCTGCAGGAGGGCAGTGATTGTGTGCCCTGCTGCACTGCTGCTCTCCTTTTATAGCCCTTTTTGTCAACTCTAAAAGCTGTAAGTAAAAAATAGCAAAAATGATCTGGCTGGGCTGCCTGAGGGTTAAAATGGAGAACAGGGCCTGTCAGCTAGAGGGTTAAAGGAGAAAAGTGCTGCATTTGAGAGAAGCAAAAACTGGTTGTCTTCAGAATTCACACTGCATGATCTCTCCCTAACACTGCACAACTACACTACTGACAGGCAAATGATGTAATGGGGCGGGGGGAAATGGTATGTGTTAGACATCTGTAGGGAAAACATTTGAATGTCACTGCTAACCTCATTCTGGAATCAATAGTTGCCTTCTATTTCAGGCTTCAGGGCCCGTTCAGACCACAAAGGCTGCAATCCAGAGTGATCGGCCTGCGGAACGCAAGCCGACTGGCTCCCTGTGTTGGGTGCATTGAAGTCAATGGCACCGCATCTACGCCCACCACCCGCAGTGCGATCGCCTGCACCCAGAACGCAGGCAAATTAGGTCAAGTGCAATCTGCAAAAATAGTGCTTTTAGTATTTTTGCAGATTGCACTGGACTGGAACACAGGCACTAATGTTCCTGTGTTCCGAGTGCGGGCGATCCCACTGCTGGCGGGGGGGGGGAGGGGGTGGCTGCGGTACCATTGACTTCAAGGCACTGCTAAGCCCCCTCCCGCCCCTGAACGCAGGGAGCCTGCTGGCTTGTGTTCCAGAGGCTGAACGCTCTGGAACGCAGCCTTTGTGGTGTGAACCGACCCTCCAGTCATTTGAATCACTCACAACAAAGCTGTAGCATACTTGGGGTCTGTGACTCCTTGAAAACATCAAAGCCATTGCTTCAACACCACAACTAGGCAACTGGTATTTTCAATAAGAGGGGTCAGCAGTAGGATTTCTATAAATTGTCCTGATGTTCTAGTAAGTGTTTACATTTCCGTACTGTTATATAATTTTCAGGGCTGAAAATGTTATTTGTACCATTGTAACTAAACTAAAATTGATTTTAGTATGTACTGTTTAACCCCTTCATGACAGGCCCTTTTTTCAATTTTTGCACCCATGTTATATTCCACATTTTAGGCCTGAAAATGACGTAAAACCCCCCAACATTAATATACACAACTTTGAAAGCATCGTTTTTATTTAAAATTGATTTACAAAAAAAAACGATTGCATTTTGGGGCGCTCCTTTACATATTCAAATACCTGCATATTAACTAGTTTTGTATTGTTGTTGTGTAGGTTGATGAAGCCATGACCATCAAGAACACAGATATTGCTAAAGAGCTTTGCCTTCCTCCAGTGAAACTTCATTGTTCCAGTAAGTTGTTTTGTTTTTTCTTGCATTTTTCAGATCTTGGACTTAACGGTGTAAAGTTCCTGTGGTCCAGCTTTAGCAGGACGGTACTTAAAATGCAAAGTTTATTAGCACAGTTTGTGACCAAGCAACTAGTAAAATGTACCTTTACCATATACCGTATTTTTCGCTCCATAACACGCACCTGACCATAAAACGAACCCAGGTTTAGAGGGGGGAAAAAAGGCTGCTTTAAAAAAAAAAAAAAGTTGTGTG